TTAATTTTTTTATGTAATATTTGTGTTAGATACTTTCTAACATATTTATCTTGTATTAAATTAATATCAAAATTTAAGTGGACTATTTGAAACATAAAATGTGTTACATTTAACACAAATTTTCCAACTGGCACAGAATAATGAGATGAATTGATTGAAGTAAAGAAAACACGCTGTTGCTTTTAAAAACAAATGTAATTTGCAATAAGCAACTACATATTTTTTTAAATAACTGTGTGTTTTCTTTGCTCCAATCAATTCATCTCATTATTTTGTGCCTAAAAGTATTGAGATACCAAAAAATCAATAGTTTGCGAGATATTTCATATTTTATGGCATAATAAAGTATAAAATATCTCGTAAAATATTAATTAAGTTTTCAATAATTTTACTTTAATACTTATTATATGCAGAATAAAGAAATCATATTTTGTAAAAAAATATATAATTCCATTTATAGAAAGCAATGATCTTTATTGTGGCTTTAAAAAATTGATCTTTTCGAAAATTAATTTTGCCAATATTTGTTCCTTCTTTATATCGTACAACTTTTATCTGAAACAATTTTCCGTGTCTTTATTTTCCAAGACATTTATATTTTTTATTATAATGAATCACCTTATATATAGGGTGAGTAAAAAGTATATCGATAAAATATTTCGAAAACAAGACAACTGAGAAAAAAATATTACATACAAAAGTTGGTTTCAATAAATGCATAAAACGGCAATATTTATTTCACCTTAAGCGCAAGTATAAAGGAGCTCTCAAAGTCAACTTAAAAATTTGTATGAATCCCCATTTTTTACTCAATATTCTTGTTTCTTATATCTTTATATCTCAAAATAAAGCCTTCCACGAAACAAAATGAATAGAACATCATCTGATCGTTGACGATCCTTTAATGTAATTCGATGCGATCGCAGATGCGATTTGTTGCCTGCGAGCATATTCGTTTCGTTCATAAGTACCACGAAATGACTGTCGGAAATAAAGCTGCACGATGTGAGTTCTAAATAGCCGATCGTTGGCCTGAACATGTCAAAATTTTTCATGCGTCACATATATTGATTATTTCGTCATCATTGATTATTTCCTCTTTATTGATCCGATCGCCTATCTAATCCGCGTTTTTCCGCATGACGCAAGCTCGGAAATAAAATCACGCAGGGTAGAATACGTTTGTTAGCATTAGCTGCGATTAGCTATGTTTTCCTGTTAAATATGCCGACAGATGTGCATTGAATTATGGAACGATATAAATCGTATCTTCCACTATTTCAGGAATGACGTTGCCTGTACCTTGAGAAAATAACGTAAAGTTCTGCAACATTATGCAACTTTTGCAACGTCGGCGAGAAGTTTATAAAGCGTAAATTATAACAGAAAAATAAAAAATTTATAATAATTAACGAGAAATAATTATACATCTGTGACCTATAAATTGTGAACATTATAATACGATATTTATTTTGATTACTCAATCGCTCGTCGATTTAACAATTTTAATCGGTTTAGAAATAACGATAACGATTTGCGTCATTCAGTAAAATTGTCTCGTTGCTTTTTCGTCGACGTAATTTATTTTGATCTGCGTGAAGATAAATTACACCTATGAAGCGGGCTCCGTGATTCCAATTAAGCGTATGAGACGCAATGATATTATCTTTGCAGTGACTCAGTTTTTTCTTCTTACCACATCTGATGTAATCAGAGCTATTACGTGCAGTGTACAACAATGAGATTGAAGGATTCTACAGTGACAGCATATAATTAATCGTAATTTTTACGAGATATATTTAGCAGTAGAAAAAGGTTCAGCGTAGTAACTCAGTTCATTGTATTTTTCGTTTCATATTTTGTGGATTTTAAATCACGATGCTTTATGACGCGTATTCATTCACAGAAAATATCGATATACAGAAAAATATTAACATATATATTGCACGAAAAATATGAAGTTCTCGTTAAGTTATCTATTACTTACTTATTAGTTAGTTTTTATCTAAAAATAGAGATTATAACCTGTATTCGGAAATGTTTTCGATAAAGGCACTTTTGAGCATATACTATATGTAACGTAAATGATATACTCTTAAAAGCACTTTTATCGATAAAAATGCGTTCTAAATATGATAGCACTACACACACACATACACACACACACACACACACACACACACACACACACACATACACACACACGTATGTACATATGTATGTATATATGAGTCATTCCATACGAAAACGCAAATAGTTCTGCCCATAAATGGTTTCAGCCTTTTTAAATGTACGAGTACTTAAATTTTAGCTTTTTTTTATGTAGAATCGAATGTCACCTGGCGATTTTGGAAAAATGGCATGGCATGGCGACGGTGTTCTCAATGAGCTTGTCGTCAAAGAATTTTTGAACAAACTTTAATTACCGGCACAGGGGATTAAAAACTTTTTTTATTTTTATAAATTAAGGTTTTTAGGATCGCTGAATGCGCAGTTATAATTGGGAAATTTGTAATTTCCAAATAATGACTTTTTTGTATAATACTCAGCAAATAGGTTTTTTTGAGGTCGCTAATCATGAATTTTCAGTTATCAAAGCGAAATTCGGAGTACCGACTCCAATATGGCAGATAGAATATAGCTAGTACATCTCAAGTTAGGAAATTTTTAAATGTTAATGAGTAGGTATTGGTTTAGTGGTTCTTTGATTGCAAATCATCAGTCTTTACTCAAATTTCGAGATTGTTGAGCCAATATGGTCGATGAAATATGGAAATTGCGTAATTAAAAAACAGATTTTGATTACGTTTAACAAAGTTGAAACTGTCAACAGATTTTCATCTACTGCCTTATAGCGATTCAAAAAACGCTTGTTTGCTGAGCATTTTACAAGAAAGTCATTATTTGGAAATTGGTTAAATTTGTCCGCCATTGTGAATTTCACAATTATGACTGCGGATTCATTCAGCCTAAAAACCTTAATTTATAAAAATAGAGAAATTTTAGTTCTTTGTGGTTCAGTAATTAAAGTATGTTCTAAAAATTCTTTGACGACAATCCATTGAGGATGCTGCCATGATCGCCATTTTGAAGTTTTTCAAAATCGCCAGGTAATATTTGATTCTACATTAAAAAAAAACTAAAATTTGAGTACTCGTACATTTAAAAAGGCTGAAACCATTTATAGGCAAAGCCATTTTCGTATGGAATGACACATATATCTGAAAGGAGATACATGTATATAAAAAATGCTTGCAGTAAGTGATGAGCAATATTTCTAACATTACTTTACATTAGCAATACTTTTCATTAGAAATAGCACTTTAAAGACATATTTATTCCAGATGTTCTGTTTGAAAGGAGTCTCTGCATTTTAAATAATTCGGGAAAAAACACACAGAGATCGTCGGCCTTTTATCTTACTAAATTATATTTGTTGAATCTGAAAATCTTAATTAAAATTGTTTTATCTGAGAAATATTTTTTTTACATTTTAAACAGAAGAAAACCATGATTTATTTTATCGCTTTGTGATTCTTTAGTGCAAGTAAAGACCACGATTAAATTTTAATAAAAATAAATTGAAAGAAATTCGCTGACATGGCTCGATAAAGTAATAAAATAAATTATTGTTTTTTTCTTTAAAATGTGAAAAAAGTGTATTTCCCGGATGCTGAGACAATTTTAACGATTTTCGGATTCAGCAAGTATAAAATTGAGTAAGAAGAAAAGTTAGGTTCCCCAAACCACCTAAAATGCATAGTTTCTTTTAAACAGATATCTGAAACTGGCATGTCTTCAAGATCTTGGATTAAATAAGTGAAATTGAGTAAAAAAAAAGTGAATTCAACGATTGCTTCCAATTGCATCGCCCAAAATGCATAAGCTCCTTTGATTAATGACCTTAATATCTAGCAAGTGACTATTACAAAATAAACGATACGCAGTAAATTCAATAAACTTTTGAACCCAAAAATCTAAAATTAATCATACGGTTTCTCAGATATATGTTTGTACAGATATATGTTTCGTTGGAACAAAGCTCGATAGATGTTCATCGAATTTGTAACTGTTTTTCAAACACCGCTTTTGTTATCACATGTAATTACTGAATCACTGTTATTATATTCCCAATGATTCATTGCAAATTAATAAATCGTTATTATAACATTCATTAAAGCAAATTTCGAGAAACTATATTGAAAGTTAGTGAAATGAGAATATTTTTTTTTTAAGCACAAATTTAAGATAACTATAGTTCAACCGAAAGTTTTCCGTTTTATCTTAACAGTAAAATTAAAAAGACAGTTTGTCATTTAAACTTCTTTAAACTTTAACTAATTTTCAATAGTACAAAGTTTTCAAAGAATTTAAAAGTAAAAGTGTAGGTAAGACAAATAAAGAATTAAAAAATATATTTTTGTTTTTTATGACACTTTCCTTTAGGGAGAATTCAGACCTCGACAGAAAAGCAGAAAACAGAAAAGCAGAAACCAATCAGAATTCGCGCTGGTAGTTTGCTAGTAGTCGACAGTTTCTGTTTTCTACTTTTCTTGCATACCAGCGTGAGTTCTAATTGGCTTCTGTTTTTCTGTTTTCTGCTTTTCTGTCAAGGTGTAAATTCTCCCTTATATAACTCCGGTTTCTCTTTATAAATCTTAGGAAAAGAGGTGAAAGTTTTATAGAAAAGGCTTAGAACATATATTACATATATATAAATGTAATATATGTTCTAAGAGAAAAGGACTGTTAACTTCTCTAGGTCACTTTTCCTAGAAATGAACGTTTCTACCCTATTTGTCGGCTTCACCAATAGCACTCTATCTCCACGCCTGTAACTCCATTTAAATTTAGCGCCACCGATCACAATTTTTGCCGCGTTGCGTTCCGATTGGCCGGGCGACCAGTGCAGCTGACTCGCCAGCCAGTCGGAAGCCGGTTTCGTCCGCTCGCTCGTCCCGTCGGTCTGTCGTTATCGGAGCGGCGAGAACAAGCCGGGTCGATTACACAAGTGTCCCGGCATAACTAAAGTGCGCCTCGTATCACGCGGGGACTTAACCTTGCCTCCTCGATTTTCCGTACGACATTTGTCATCGCGTATCGCGCCCGCGAGTGTCGTTCTGCCACCGTTAACATCGTACAACGCAATCCTCACCGACGTCATCGTCGCCGTCATCGTCGGATCGGCGGTGGAGAAGAGAACGCAGGCGCGCGTTTCTCGCCTTGGCTCATTTCGGCGCCTGAACGGAACGAGGACTGCGAGTTAAGAGCCGAACGACCGCGGACCGCGTGCGCGCGCGCAAGAGAGTACAACAGTCGGTGTTATCGCGCCGAACGCCGCCGCCGCCGTCGACGTCGTCGTCGTTATTGTCGTCCCGGAGGAACGCCGTGCGAACCGCGTTTCTTTTTTCGCATTCCTCATCCTCGTGCCACGTGCCCACGAGCGTGCGATGAGCGGCAGTAGCGAGAACAGGGGACGAAATGGCCACGTGCTTGTGTGGGACCAGGTCGGGCTCGACGAGGACGACCGAGGGAAAAGAAGAAAAAGAGGTAATGTGCCACGCGGTCGCGCCGCGTTTCGCCGGCCGCCGATTTCATTTGCAAAGCGCGGAGCTGGAGAAGCTCGAGTGAGACGGGACGAGGAGGAGGCGAGGAAAACCCTCTCGACGTTCCCGTCTCGCGATATTCCCGCGGTATTCTCGTCGCCGTGCGAGAGCCCCCCCGGGTTCTTCGGATTCGCTCTTTCTCGCCGGACGACCCGCGATCGGGACAAACGTGACTCCGTCGTTGACATCAATCTGCATAAAAATAGCTGACGAGCGCGCGCGCAGGAAATGTCGAGCGAAGATACGGGGAAAATTCCGATTTCAAAATTCCTCGGAAAATTCGTTCCGTTAACGCAAAATGAGCGGTTTTTTTTTCTCTCTTTTTTTTCGTCGCGATTGGACGAAACATTCAAACGGACGTGCGATTCCGGAATGCGTTACCAAAGAAATCCCGGCTTCGGTCGCCCCGTAATTCTCACGCGTCGTGAAACGCTGTAATCCGAGACGAGGTATGCTGAATGCTCGCGCCCGCGCGCGATGTTCGTCTCGACAGCGACAGACCACGTGTTCAGCTGTGCCGAGACACGTTCGGCTTCTCTCTTTCTCTCTCCCTGATTTCGAATATCATTCACTTAATCGATGATCATTTCATTCGATATAATAGCTTAAAGCAAAATTTCGAACTATTATACATTTTGTCGTTCTTTTATCTAAATCTTTTTTTTCCATGCATTAAATAACAAAAACTTAATCATTCTCTTCATATTTATGTCCATGATAATTATAAATTACGCTAGTTTACAGCAAAAAATTATTTTGAATCGGACTTAGATGTTTCTCGTAGATTTTTAAATGCTGAAAACTTTGGCCGCAAGCCAAAAAATCCCAGCACATCAGGTTTCTAATTGCAAGATAATTGAGATTTAATGCCCAAAAATGGGTTTTTTCACTATGTTTGACATTTTCTTGTAAAAAAAGATTAACGTTATCTTGAAATTCCGATCAAAAAGTCATGAAATAATTTTTCATCCCGCATAAAATGCATTTTTTCCATTTCAGTAGTTTACTTTCTAGCCATCTGCCTTGTTATGAAGAATTTAAATACAGGATTTTTTTAAGATAACAAATTTTTTGTCTGATGAAGTTGCATGTACTTATAATTCCTAGTTTGCTTATCGATCCACATATAACACAATTAATGTAATTGATCGTGACAAATTAAATGTACACACACACACACAGAGGGTGCTTATTTTAACCCATCTTGAATGCTTAAAGAAAATTAAAAAAAATGTTTCACAAAAATTGTCTGAAAGAGAAATAGTGTAAAAAGAAACAAATAATGGCAAAGTAGCTGCCGATCGCGTATGCCATGTGATGCTGCCTTATCCCCATATTAGAAATAGCTCCTAGCTTAAATCTTTCATAACATGACTAAAAAGTAAGATAATGAAATTAAAAAAAATGCATTTTATAGGGGATGTTATCAATACATTTATAACTTCTGATCTGAAATTTCAAGATATCATCTTAATCTTCTTTACAAGAAAAATGTCAAATATCGCCAAAAAAGCCATTTTTTGAACATTAAATCTCAGTTATTTTAGAAACCCGATGTGCTGGAGAAATTTGGAGAACTTGCGACATAGTTTTTTCAGCATTCAAAAATCTATAAGAAACACGTAGTGCGGTTCAAAGTAATAAGAAAAACTGTTTTTATGAACTAGTGTTAATGTATTATTTTATTCATGTCGACAGAATTGCTTATTATAGAGTAAGATTTCTAACTATAGAATTCGTCCCTAAATTAATTTTTTTCTGTATATATTGTGTACAACAAAAAGTTAATTTACAATTTTGATAATTTTTTAATCATTTTGTCCGTATTAATGAAATAATACAGATATTACTTTTGATAACTTGATTACTGATTAAAATAATCAAAACTTACTCGAAGTCGCCCTAAAAATGGAAAATAATGATATCTACTCATCGAAATTTTGCTTTTTAATTATTTATTCGCGAAAACGTTAAAATAGAATTTTCCCTATTTTAGAGTATTTCTCATTGTCAGATGCGTTACAGTTTTGCATGACGTATCTGAAACTCGCCAGATTGATGTTACTTGCCAAAAAATTAATGTTAGAAATGTTAACTCATATTACAATTTATTTCTATTCTTAAATCTTTTACAAATAAATTTTTCCACAAGCAGTTGAAACCTAAGCTAATACCCTATCAAATGATTATTTCTGATTATTATCTGATTGTTTTCTGTTTAGACCTTTACCTCATAATCTGTTTTCTTCTTTTTTTAATTTTAAATAGGAAAATTTCTTTTCGAGAATGTTTTACGTATGCAGCATGAATTTTTTTTACAAGGATCATCCTGGTCTGGGGTACTCATGCTCCTTGTGATGATACTATTTCACAGAAAATGCTTGGTTCTCCATAATGTTTACGTAATTGTAATGCGCGATGATCAGCTGCTTGTAGATTTCCACGAGTCTCGAAAAAAATTAGCACTGAAATTTTTTTTTACTTTTTGTCATCTGCTATTTTACGGATTTTATCTTACGCGTCGAAATGAAACTGAAAACAGTTGCATTGCTATTAAAATTCAAAGTTCCTATATATTTTACAATTTGAATTTTATTTTAATGTTAAATTGCTTATAACCTAGTTGAAAATGTCGTAGTAATCTTTGCGCAAATTTACTGTAATCAAGTTTTACATCAAACATTTCGGAAGCTACTATAAAATCCAATCGCAATAACGACATTTTCGCAGCTTTTTTTACATGTACGCGACTGCATTAATCCTTTGCGAACTATTCCTTGCAAATAAGTAAAAATCGAACATATTTTGTTGTTAATTTTATTTAATCGGCGGGATCAGAGTTTTTAGGAATTTGGAGGAATTTACGGAAGTCCCAAAAATATAGTTTGCCGATTATAATTACATATCGAATGCTTGAAAAATTATACGATAAAGTACCGCAATGCATTATGTCAAATTCAATTTAACATAGAACAGCAAAAGATTAATATACTGTACACATATAAGATTTTTTTTATTCCATCTCTCTCTCTCTCTCTCTCTCTGCAAAAAATAAATGGAAATAAACGTGCCCAGTTGCCGTTCGTTTATTGTCTTGCACATCTGTCTCAAGTCGACAGAAATCGTTCCGAAAGAATTTATGACTTTTGTTCTCTTGACTTTGCCGGAGGGGACTTAATTTTTATTCGACTTAATTTTTATTAACTATTATACTATATGTTTTATATTAAATAATTGCGTACAATTCCTCATCTATTTCTTCGATACAAACAATTTGCACGGATTTTATTTCGCAAGAATAAGAAATAATTTTTTATTTTTCTTTATATTACGCAGAAAATGCACGTGTGAAGTAAACTTTATAAAAACACAAGGTATGGTTGAATCTGTAATTTATGAAATGTACTATAATACGTAATTATTTAAAGGTGACATAACTTCATTAGCAATGGAAGATATGGAATGTTGCGATAAATTTGAGATAAGTCTTCTGTTAAACAACGTAAAATTAATTATGTAAAACGAAGTGTAATTATAAATATAAATATAAATAATTATTAATAGAAATATTTACAAAAATATTATTTACATTGGTATTAATTTATTTTAATTATTAAATTTTAATTATTAAATTTATTTTTAAAAAAATGAGGTGCTAACTTCACAGAGGTTAGTATTAATAGAAACGTGTGTACCAATAAGAAACGATAATAGCTAACGGAATAGTTAAACGGCATTACCCCGCATTGAAATAACTCGCATTATCGCGGGGAGATTAGTCTAAAGAGCATTTTACCGTGCTAACTAACAGAAAAAGCGCGGGTGCACGCGATGAGAGACATAGCACTCGCCGTCTCGCCGATGACGCATCGCGACACGGTCGTAATCTGGATAAGAGCGCACACAGATACGAGACATCCGCTCTTCCGCGGGAGCACCATCTCGCGTTCGTGTTACACATATCTGCCATTCTGTCCGAACGGAGAACCGCTCGTCGCGATTACGAGGAAAATTGCCGCGGGGTTTTTCGGCGGACGCGCGGACTCGAGAAACATTCGAGAACAAAGTGCGTTTTTCTCGCGATACGGACGTCAAGGCCACCGAATGACTCGTGCATTTAGCCGCTATCGCGAAAATAGTGTACAGTGTGCTGCACATTCGGCATGCTTAAAGAGATGTTCCAAAGTTCCCAACAGGGAGCTTTATTTTTTATCCGCGGCGGATTTGTCGTCAGAATTTATTTTTTTCTAAAGAAAAAAAGAGATAAAGACAGCGAATTAGTCGGGAATTTTATCGAAATGAGAGATTTCAAGGATATATGAAAAAATAGACAAAATTTATTTGATTTTTCGGATAATTTAAAGTCGACTTCGCTCGTTCACGAAATTAATTCTAAGATCGAAAGAATTGGAAGAATTAAAGGTTTAGTTTGATAAAGTATTAAAATAGAGATTTTTCCTATACAGAAAGATTATTTAGAATTGGAAAATTTGCGAATTAACAGATGGAGGTTAGAACGATATTCTGCACAAGTTTCATATGATGTCAATCAAAATTATAATATATGTTGTCTGCGCTCGCATTTCGATAGCTTGCTGCCTATCGAATTTACTTATCTCTGCAAATGCAGCAGAGGGGCGATACGTGTGACCATAAATCACTGCTGATGATAACAAAATTTAAAATTGGCGATATTTTGACCAGATCGAAGTTCAGTCTTCATTGAGACGAATTTCTGAGTGAAAGTATCATATAATAACCGCTATATTTTATTTCTTGATAAATAAATTCTAATCTTATTTAAAAGATTTTTTTAAAAATTTCCACGAAGAAATATTATAATATTTTGTGTGAAAGAATTTATATGTTATTTTTTTATTTTAATAATTTTTATGTATATAGCTATATGTTACATATAATATTACTAAAATTAATTTCTACCGG